GGCTAACAGTGAATGGAACCCAGCAAAGCACGACTATTCTAGCACTATGCTAACGTGGCTGACAGTGAATGGAAGCTTGCAAAGTGTCAAAACTTAGCCATTAACACACATTGCCAAGGTAACTGGTACTAGCTTGCACTCATTTTTAGCCTTGGTACTTTACAGGTTTACAGGGTGGTTGGCAGGTTCTAGATTGCAGTTCTAAAAAATAGCAAAGTATGAAACCTAGCAGTTAATTTGCTTTGCCGTGCTGGTAGTTCGCTAACATGGCTGACAGTGCATGGAAGCCAGCAAAGTGCGAAAGCTAGCAGTTAAATACGCATTGCCAAGCTAATCACTGCTAGCTTTCCTTCACTGTTAGCCATGCTAGCTTCTGTGATCAAACCAGATTGTGGTTCTAGGTCCCAACTACCCATTACATCTATAACACTCATCTATACTGGACGATTTTCAGGCCATAATAGAAGATAATGAGACAAAAAAGACAAGAATTAGCAAAAAAAAGAGAGAATTCGTGAATTCAGAAAGCTGGAGTCATATGATGTCTGAACAACTGAATATGAAAATAAAGACAGGACCAAATGAACCAGCTTTTCATTGTGAAATCGCTTGGAATCGAACAGGTTAGGGATTTAAAAAAAAAGAAAAAAAATGAAAAGAAAGCTCAGGAGTGTTTAACTTCTCCAACCTGTATGTGCATGAACTGTTAAGTGAATGTAAAATTGTGGCGGATGTAAAAAAAAACATAGTAAGAGGAAAAATTATATTGTATTTCCTAAAAAACTGAGTGAAACCTGAGTGTGTCTGGGAAATTGTACACACTGCTGCCTGTGACTGAGGGAATGTTGGAGAATTTTTTGTACAAAAATACTTTCTGCTGTAATTTACAGAGTCTGGTTTAAACTACCACGCATCTCTCTCTCATACACGAAGATAGAAAACTAGCAAAGACACAAAAAAATCTCAAAGTATAAATTAAACATTCTTATTTTTAAAATTGACATTGCACATCAAAAAAAGGGCTGAACAGCACATCCTGTACGTCTCCAACGACTTCCATCTTAGCGTTTCTTGAGTCATATAGCAGCACTGCATGTTATCGTACGTGTGCCACGTTACAAATTAGAGCACAACTAAATATCTTCAGAGAAGACAAAGTATACTGAGTTTACTTTGGACTGTAAAGTGTTTCTTTTTTTGCATTTGTATTCTGGAGCACCATTCCAGTAGATATTCCTCATTATCTCACAATTTTGACCCTATTTAAAGGAAATTTGAGCGGAAAATGGCCTTAAAATTTCACTGCTGTCGTAAAAACCTTGTATCTCCAGCACTAAAACTGTAAAACTGTAATTTTACAGAAGGAAAAAAAAAATTTAAAGAGGCATTCTGGCCAAAATTAAAAATGTACCCATCACTTTGTCTGTTCTAAACATGCCTACTCCCATTTTCGTCTGTACTGTAGTACTTTCTAGAGTGAGATTTTCCCATTTAAAGACCAGGAAAACCCCCTTTTGATGATGTACCTTGAAGGTGGGAGTAACTTTTGAGGCTACAAACACTTTGGGGTGGATATATGAAGCAACTATCATGTCTGTGGCTACACTAGCAGTGAGGGTTTCTCTATCACCTTGCGATTCTCAATGGCTGTATGACATCTGTGTAATGCATGCTGGGAACTGTAGTGATGGAAAACAAATGGAAAACAAAAAGGCTTTATGTAACAATTTAGTAAATTTTTGTAATTTATGTAACAAGTTTTTCTTGTTTAAGTAATTTTGGACCAATTCTATTGGTCCGTTCATCGTGAAATTTCCACATAATGTTAAAGAGGAATTCCCATAATGTTTCAAAATTTCTGCATTTTTAAATGGTTAAGATGAAAAAAGTCATTCAAAGTGGTTTTAATGTGAAATGCTCCATTCTAGAGAAGCTTAGAGTCGGAATGGTTCACACTGGTGGTGATAGGAACCAGACGTCCACAAATTACATAAAATTCTAGTTTTAGGCAGGGATGCCTCTTTAACACTAATATACGTTAATGCATGTAATACGATTTTATTGTTTAAGTAGTTCTGGACCAATTCTATTGGTCAGTTCATCACTGAATTTTCACATAATGTTAATTTTTCAAAATTTCTGCATAATTAAATGGTTATGATGTATGGCGTCATTCAGAGTGGTTTTAATGTGAAATGCTCCATTCTAGAGAAACTTACCGAATGGTTCACACTAGTGGTGACAGGAACCAGACGTCCACCAGACATCATCAATATTACGTATAAAAACTTGTAGGTTTTGGATAGTAAATAAAATGGCTATATTTGTGTTGAAGACATGGTTCCTATCACTACCACTGTAAAGAAATCTGTAAGTTTCTCTACAATGAACCATTTCATATCAAACCACTCTGAACAACTTTGTTTAGATCTCAACCACTGAATTTTGAAAAAATGGGTGGAATTTCCCTTTACAGGTAGTTTTCAAATAGTGTTATAAAATGTTTAAAAAATTGGGAGGTTTTGATACGACAGCGAAAAGAAATGTAGCATTTAAATCACTTACATATAATTAAAACTCCCGTACACCCCAAAAAACACAGTGTTAAACTGAACGCTAACATATTTGGCTCCACGTTAAACATTTTCATGGATCTTTATGGGGAACGTGGATGTGTTTCCGAATCACAGGCATTGAAAAAACACTAGAGAACTCAGGTCCATTTGTGGAAAGCCCTTCTGAACATGGTCGGATTGTCATTTAACATAAACACCTCCTTCAGCTTCCGCCTCAGCTCTTTGTTCTGTTACAGTACACCCTGGACAGTCCTACATCTTCTCCGATTACAGACGAGGGGGGGCACACACACACACATCAGACGTACAAACACAAACATAAACATGTCCATCCAAGCCCATTTCACCATTAGCATAACCATCAGCTAACAGCATTAGCCAACTCTGAAGTCATATCAGCTGTAACTTCTGAATCAGGGATTAAAACCACCGCCCTGCTGTAGGCTAATACTGACTAAGCGTTGTTTTTTCACACAAAACCTGAGAAAACATATCAAACCTCAACCTTTCAAGCTCATTTTAGTAATATAATATCACTGTACAGATACTGGACCACTTGAGTAACCATTACTAAAGGAATATCTGCCCTAGCAATGCTAACATGGCTAAAAGTCATGCTAGTGAGGCTAAAACGCAAGCTAGCAGTTACACTAGCCTTTTTTTGTTTTCTCTTTTTCGTGGGGGTGTCTGTGTGAAGTATTCCTTTGACTCATAATTGTAAAGGCATTCAGGTTGTATGATTTATATTTGTAACCCTTTTCCAGAACAACTACAACATTGGTGAGTGCCAAATTAGGTTAGGCTAAGCTAACACGGCACGTTTGTTCTGAAAGAAAACCTCAACAAAAGTGTGGAAATGTGGAAAAACCAACAAGACAACATTCAGAACAGCTGAAAAGGATTACGGAGAAGGATTCAACAAGGAATAAAACAAAAAACGAAAGAAATGAGTCAGTACGCGAGGCCAGCATCCCGGTTTTGTTAGTGCTAGTTCTCGGGCTGATTTGAAACCATTCGTCCTACTGAACAGTGGAATATTCAAGCATCTCTCTAAGTTTGCGTGCTCTGACTGAGAGTCATTGGTGGGAGAAGGTGACTGGGATTAGGATGGATTAAACAGAGAGCATGAATTTGATAACATCGGGTCTGACTGAGCATCTGTTTCGGATTAGCCAGACTTCCTGTGTGATTTAGCCAGAGTGACTTATGACCTGCCACATTATTCCAAAGGCGGACGGCTCGTTTTCTTTCACAGCTGAAACTTCTCAGCACTTCGGAAAGCACCATGCGAGAGAGAAACATGAGAAAACAGGAGTTAATTCATAAAACGGAGGGGAAGGTAACCGAGAACGAAGCCTCACGTAGGGGTGATATGAAAAAATACACACAATCGCTGTTCAAAAGTTTGGAATCACTGTTTTCAGTAATATAAAACCAATTTGGTGTGTAAAGCTCCAACACTCCTCATGTTTTCAGCATGAGTGGGCGGGGCTAAACTGTTATAGAGTGAACTGGCAAATATATGCAAATAAGTTTTGTGACATCACAAAAAGGCAATTTAAAATGGGCTGTTTTTGCAGCTTTTAGTTTGCAATTTCGTTTTTAGTTTGCAATTTTGTTTAGTTTTGAAATTTTAACAATGTTTACAAACTCTTTTCTTAAAAAGATATGGGCCCTTTAAGTTCTAACAACTGTACCCGAAGTAACAAATCTAACTGTAGTGTATTTATCAATTTATTTACTTTTTTGACAGAATTTTGAAATGTAACCCTGAAATCAATAAATAAGTTATATTCTTATATGAGTTAGTGGATAAAATAACAAAAATAATTAATGTGGCAGGTGATACCGAACTTTTGAACACTACAGTAAAGAGAAAGTGTGGCTGTAATAGCTGAGAGCTGAGATTAGAGATGGTGCGTTGTAACAAATCAATTTCACAACAAATAATCATCAGAAATGAGCTCAATCTGCCGCTGCGTCTGTCTCATCCCCTTTAGGTAGTTTTCTGTTTGTTTCTGTGTCGTTTCGTCCATAGTGATGGTCAGACGTTGCAAAAATGCCGTAACATTGAAATGAAACATAACTAAAACAAGACAAAGCTCGTCTAGAAAACAAACAAAAAAAGAAAATAAAACTCTTTTTCTGATGTGGTGAAATATACCTGCAGTGGAACTTTCAGTTTCGCTTTTACAAAAAGTTTTTTTAAATTTATCGCTTAGCTTTACATTTGTTTCTTCTTCCCGAATCATCTAGAGGATTTTCTCTCTCCGATACGCCAGTCACATGACCTCATGACAACAGCACTGGGGGAGGGTCAGAGGGGGCGGGGCTTCTCCATGACCCCTGGGCTCCACGAATGGGCGCCCCCGCTGCTAGCTCCTCCCACTTTACCCTGCATTCACATCATGCAGTTTCGGGCGGAGCCTCTCGACTTGCGCTGCACCTTGCGTGTGTTGCCATGGGAACAGAGGGACTTTGGCTTAGTCGTGGTGTTTTAGGCTGGGCGGCGAAAAATATCGCTCAAGAGCCTTCCCATCATCCCTTTCTCTCATGCCGCAGAGCTTTAGAGCTCTGCACGCTATCCCGGCAGTCTCCCGGGGTTACCGTGGCAACATGTTCCGGTAGTCTGGAGGCTGGGAATGAAGGTGCTGTTGTTGCTGCTGCTGCTGCTGTTGTTGTTGATGCTGTTGTTGTTGTTGTGGCTGTTGCTGCTGTATGTATCCCACAGTGCTTTGCGGCGGGACGTTAGTGGCGTGGAAGAAGGCCTGAGTGGGGCCGCCATGGATGAGGCCCTGTGGTTGCATCTGAGAGAAAGAGAGAGGAAATAGGAGGGAGAATAAAATCGGAACAGGGCTTATAATCCTTACCTAGTAAATCATCTCTGGGCAAGTAAGAATAAAGTAAATTATGCAAAACGTACAAAATATTCCTTAAAGAACGATTCTAAAGCTTTTGAGAAGGTGACCCCTTCCCAGATCAATCATTTTGAGCTGAAGCATGCTTAGATTAATCATTCGTAGGTGAATCATAATCAGATGAATCATTAAGAAGTGCAGCATTCTCAGTTAAATATTTCTGAAGTGAATCATTCTCAGTGTAGTTGTTCTGAGGTCAATCACTCTTTGAGTATTCATTCAGGAGTGAATCATCCTCAGATGAACTGCTGTGATCTGAATTATGCTCAGATTAATCGTTCTGATGTAAATCATTCTCAGGTGAACTGTTCTGATTTGAATTATTCTCGGATGAATCGTTCTGAACAGAATCATTCTAAAATTACTCATTCCAAGGTGAATCATTCTCAGGTGAATTGTTCAGAGTTTTAATAATTATCAGGTTAACTGTTCTGAGTTGAATCTTTATAAGATGAATGCTCCAAGTTGAATTATTGTCAGATAAATTTTCCTTAGATTAATCACTGTCAGATCGTTCGGTAGAGATTCCATCTCATATTAATCATTCAAAAGGTCATAATTCTCAGATAAACTGATGTGAATCACTCCCATATTAATCGCTCTGAAGTGAACCATTTTCAGGTGAATTGTTCTGAGGTGAATCATTCTCAGGTGAACTGAGATGAATCATTCTCATATTAATCGTTCTCAGGTGAGTGGTTCTGAGGTGAATCATTCTCAGATGAACTGAGATGAATCATTCTCATTTTAATCATTCTAAATTGAATCATTTTCAGATGAATTGCTCTAAGGTTAATCATTTTCAGGTGAATTGTTCTGAGGTGAATCATTCTCAGATGAATCCTTCCGAGGGTTTGGTGAGTTATTTACCTGAAAGAACTGTTGAGGCTGTTGGATCTGCAGGCTGTGCTGGGTGCTCTGAGGGTGGGGTGTGTAGGCGGGCGGAGCCCGAGGAGTGATGAAGCTGTTGTGGGGTATCATGATTGGTGAAGTGAAAACAGGAGAGGGGACTAGCACAGCGTTGCAGTTGACCTGTTGCACTGGAAAGGAAGGGGCCATCATCTGTTGGTCCAGATATCTGCACATAACAAACCCAAACACACGCACAGTTACAATATTTTATCTAGTTTATGCTCAATTCTTTCAACTGTTTTTGAAGTAGCTGTATCTGATGTAGATTTGTTTGTCACTTTATAGGCTTAGATACAGTAAAAGCCTATTTACACAAGCATTTTGTCAGCAAAATTTCACAAACAAACATACATTCATTTCAGTGGAATCTGATGCAATGAACAGCTTCTGGAGCTGGAACTTTGGATAGCAGCCCTTAATATTCAAAAATGCTAATTTTATCAGCATCTAAGCATCTAAGATTCTTTCAGCATTTCTTCCCTACTGGCTTTACTGTTTATGGTAGACGAGGTGGCCAGTTCGCTACGTGCTAGGTTAGTTGCTTGGCTAAGTGCTGCTGCACACACCAGTCACCCCACTGCTACTAACCACATTAGTTATCTAGTTTTTGCAACACTTCAGTGTGCAGCCCTGAGCTCCTGTGGGTATATAACTGGTATAATTCTGTTTACTTTTGCGTTTTTACTGTTTATATTCAGAAAAGTGCATTAATTTACAGGATTATTTTTGTCACCCATCTTCTGGTCCAGCTGTAGTCATGTCTATTTGGCAAAGTGAATTTCTTCTGTTCTGTCGGTGCATTTTGTTCACTTCAATTTGTTTGCAAAACTCATAAAAAAATAAAAAAGTAAATATAGCAACATCATGTACTGTGATTATCTGCAAGTATTGTGATATTTCTGTCATATCGTCCACCCTTATTTAGCCCCTATAAAGGGCAGACAAATCACCCAGACCCCCCCACTGTGACTCACTTGGTTTGCTGAATGGTAGAGTTACACTGAGACGCCTGAGATCCGCTGCTGTCTGGAACCAGAGTCTGAACCGGCTGGTTTAACAACATCCTGCACAACACATCACAACACACACACACGCCAATTATTAAACTACACTGTGTGTGTGTGTACCATAGCTGTCTGTCGTGGCTGTGTGTGTGTATGTGATATATGTGTATGTATGTGTGTGTGTGTACTGTAGCTGTCCGTCAGGGCTGTGTGTGTATGTGATATATGTGTGTGTGTGTGTGTGTGTGTGTACCGGAGTTGTCCGTCAGGGTTGTGTGTGTGTGTGTGTGTGTGTGTGTATGTGATATATGTGTGTGTATGTGATATATGTGTATGTATGTGTGTGTGTGTGTACCGTAGCTGTCCGTCAGGGCTGTGTGTGTATGTGATATATATATATATATATGTGTGTGTGTGTGTGTACCGGAGTTTTCCATCGGGGCTGTGTGTGTGTGTGTGTGATATATGTGTGTGTGTGTGTGCGTGTGTGTACCGTAGCTGTATGTCGGGGCTGTGTGTGTGTGCTTGTGTGTACCGTAGCTGTCCGTCAGGCTGTGTGTGTGTGTGTACCGTAGCTGTCTGTTGGGCTGTGTGTGTGTGTGTGTGTGTACCGTAGCTGTCCGTCGGGGCTGTTGTCTGTCTCGCTGTGCCGGTGCGAGTGCGTGTGTGTATCTGGGACGGTCCGGTATCCGTGGTTTGGGGAGAACATCATGGGGTTACTGTAGAGTGGCATGGTCAGACTGGTGTGTGTCTGCACCGGAACACTGACTGTCTGCATTGGAGTGCTCCGAACCAGCCTCTGCTGAACACACACACACACACACACACTCAAAATCTACAATCTGTAAATATATAAGAGTATATGAGTACATGCTCCATGCAATCTAAAACCAGTAACCTGATTGCCTTAAAATTTTGAGTTATCAGAATAATAATCTGTGTTTACTTTGGTTTGAAGAACTCAAACAGGTTACTAAATAGTCATTTTACACTGTGTGTGTATATACAGCTGTACACAAAGGTCTGGGCACCTCGGACAAGTTTTCTAGATTTTCTAAGCCTCTACAAACAACATACATCTGCCATTTTGAATGCACAGCTACTGTTTATTTGCTGAATTTAACAGCAAAATGAAACATAAAATGTGGCCTGTGCAATTTATGTCACATTGTATACTTTTTGTTTTCTTTTTTTTGCCAATTTGTTAAACTTAGCAAATAGATGCAAACTGTGTGCCAAAATTTGCAGGAAATTCCTTATTTATTCATTGCACATATTTTCACTTAGAAAATCAACAAAAGATGTAGGTTGACCAGGGGTGCTTAAACTTTTGCACATGACAGTATGTGCGGCCCTATGCGTGTGTATGTAAGTGTGTGTGTGTGTTGTACCTGTGTGGTGGAGCTGCTGGGCTGCTCTCGTAGCAGTGTGTGTGGTGAGGCTGAGTGTGGAGCACAGTGTGGGGGTTTGGGGTGGGTGTGGGTGTGTGTGTGAGTGCTGTTGTGGCGGATGACTCCTGATTGGCTGTTCTGGACCGACTGGACTGAAGGCTGCTGCTGCTGCTGCGGAGACAAGGACGGGAAATCACTGTGGATCGGCTGCTGCAGCAACATCTGCACAAACAGAGCAGAGAGAATTATTCATTCAGCCTAATGAGAAACTGTTTATATCACAATACCTACATTTAGAGCCAGTTATTCATTCAGCCTAATGAGAAACTGTTTATATCACAATACCTACATTTAGAGTCAGTTATTCATTCAGCCTAATGAGAAACTGTAGAACAGACTCAGTTTATATCACAATACCTACATTTAGAGCCAGTTATTCATTCAGCCTAATGAGAAACTGTAGAACAGACTCAGTTTATATCACAATACCTACATTTAGAGCCAGTTATTCATTCAACCTAATGAGAAACTGTTTATATCACAATACCTACATTTAGAGTCAGTTATTCATTCAGCCTAATGAGAAACTGTCTATATCACAATACCTACATTTAGAGCCAGTTATTCATTCAGCCTAATGAGAAACTGTCTATATCACAATACCTACATTTAGAGCCAGTTATTCATTCAACCTAATGAGAAACTGTTTATATCACAATACCTACATTTAGAGTCAGTTATTCATTCAGCCTAATGAGAAACTGTCTATATCACAATACCTACATTTAGAGCCAGTTATTCATTCAGCCTAATAAGAAACTGTTTATATCACAATACCTACATTTAGAGTCGGTTATTCATTCAACCTAATGAGGGGCTGTAGATTGGCCCTTAAAGAAACCCAAAGTTGGTATTTATTTAAATTTCATTCGACTGAAATATGGTGTTGTGGCCCTAAAAATGGATGATAAATGATGATACATTCAAACTTTTACTCCTCATTGTTGTTCTGAAGACTCATAATCGGTCTGAATTGCTGGGTCCTCTGGCTATGAAAGAAGGCATTTGTGGGAAGAGCATGAATATGTAAATTACCTGCAGGTTGGCGAGCTGTAGTTTCTCTTTGATGTCGTGGAGCTCCTGCTGCTGAGTCTTGATGTCAGCCTGCAGTATCCGGGTTCTCTCCTCCAGCTGCTCCTTCAGCTGGTGCATCACTCCCAACTGAGGCTGCTGGAAACCTCCGCACACAGACTGGTGCTGCGCAGATGACTGCACACACAGAGAGAGTGGATGAGAAAGGGGAAGAGGGAAGAGAGAGAGAGAGAGAGAAAGAGAGAGAGGGGAGAAAGAGAGAGTGAGAAGAAAGAAGAGTCAAAAGAGCGAGAGGGTGAGAGACAGGATGAGAGAGGGAAAGAGGGAAGTGAGAGACAGAGAGAAAAGAAACAGGGGAAAAGGGACAGAAAGAGACAGCGGGACAGGAACAGAGAGAAAGAAGAAAAGATAGGAAAAAGAGAGAGCGGTAAGCGAGGAAGAGAGAAAGAGAAAGAGAGGATAAGAAACAAAAGAGAAAGAGGGAGAGAGGATGAGGGAAATGTGGGACAGAGAGAGAAAGAGAGAGAGGAAGAGAGAAAGAATGATACAGAGGGAGAAAGAAAGAAAGGAAAAGAAAGAAAGAAAGAGGGTGAGAGAGAGCATAAAGAGAAGGAAAGGGTGAAAGGAAGGAAGAGAGAAGACAGAGAAATTGAGAAAGATAAGAGAAGAGGGAATAAATGATAGAGAGAGAAAGAGAGGATGAGAGAGAGAGGGAGGAAAAGAAGAGGGAGAAGGGGAGAGAGAGGGACTAACCATCACTGAGGGTTGTGAGCAGGACGGGGAGGGGGGGAGGGGCTCGGAGGCTCGTCTCTGAAGCAGACTCTAAAACACAGATAGAGAGAGAGAGATTGAGAGAGAGAGAGAGAGAGAGAGAGAGAGAGAGAGAGAGAAAGAGAGAGAGAGAGACACTGTTCTAGTCTACAGGGCAAATTAAATACATTTACTATCGACTGATAAAAACACAAACCACCAGAGAGCAGATATCGCCCTGTTTCTCTGGTTCGGAGGTGGTTCTGGTTCTGAGAGGGACAGAGCTGAAACCGTGTACCTTTGAGCCACTGTGCGACAGCCTGCTGGAGCTCTCGGGTCCAATAGACGCCGACTGCCGCGATGACGTGCAGGTTTCTTTATACCGGACGGAAGAGTTCGCTGTGGAGTCACAAACAGACAACTCTGAGTGAGTTTAACACCTAAAAATCTCAGCCTTAAAACACCTTCAGGCTGAGTTACTCCAAAGAAATGGGACCCATTTTTGGGACATTTACATTGACTAGACCTTTAGTTTTGAATAGAAACTGGTTATATTATTATTATATTTATAACCAGTCATAAAAAAAGATTCTTCTGATACAGCATAATGTGATCATTAGGGTTTACTAGGCACTATGCAAACAGCAATAACAGCTCATATATATATATATATATATATATATATATATATATATATATACACACAAGTTGTTATTGTTGTTTGCGTAATGCAGGTTTAATAAGGCCTAATAATCACATTATACATATCGCTGCTGTCGGAACAAAACATCGTACCTCCATTTTTTCCGTTTTTCAGTTTTTGACATAATCTGAAAGTACCCATACTTTCATAATGTGTACCATAATATCATAATATATATCATAGAATAATGTGATTGTTGACATAATGTGATGTCAACAAACCTCTTAGCGTACCTTCAGCCATGCTACAGCAGTTAGTGGTGTAGGCTACAGCGTTATCTAGCTTGCTAGTGTGCGTGTTACTCACATGCCGAGTCAGACAGTGCAGTGTGGGATGATTTGCGTGAGCTGTGTGATGAAGCTGATCGAGCTCCGCTGATTCTGTCCCGTGATGCGTCCATAGGAGCACACATGTCCAGATAAACCTCCTGACCCTACAAACACACACACAGAGAAACATAACCAACACAAAAACACACACACAGAACTTTACAGGCACCATTTTCTCTTCTCACAGTACTGCACAAAAGTCAGAGACCACCCTTCAGTCAGAGCTCACATTAATTATGTTATTCATTTTTCAGGGTCAGAAAAAAGCGTCAACAACTAAATGAATTTTTTTAGTAGTGTTTATTGTGTCACTCTTCACCTTCATCACAGCTTCCATTCTCTTCAGCAGACTCACTTTCAGGTCCTCAAAGAATCTGCAGACACACCTCCAAAGTTCAGTCTTAGAAGCTGGTTGATCATTTTCTGAAGTAATCAAACACATTCAGTGGTGTTGAGGTCTGGACTCTGGGGTTGTCAGTCCATTGTTCAGCTTCTTTGTTTCATGTGTCCGTCTCCTTTTCTCAGTGAGGTTCTTCTTGACAGCTACACATCCTTTCAGACCCACAGCGCTGAGTCGTCTTCTCACAGTGGAAGGATGGACAGAAACACCTGTGGATGTTTTCAGATCTGAAGCAGCTTGATTTTCTCCTCTCTCTCAAAGATGAAAACTTTCAGTGCTGTTTATCTGATGGGGGCAGTTTTGGTGTCTACCAGGTCTTCCAGGTAGTTGTTAGGAGGCACATTTTCTCTGCAGCTTTTAATCATCCAGTTTTGGAAACTCCTGTTTTTTTCACTTATTTTCATTTGATTTTGTCCATTCTTATGCAAATGTCTAACCTCATCATAAATATCTTCTGAAAATTAGTAACTTTTACTTAATAGCTGTTTTCAATGGAAATTAAATAAATGAAGGATGGTCCCTGATTTTTTAGCAGTACTGTACTTTAGTTAAGATATTACATCCTGGAGAAGGTTCAGTTGGGTATCAGGGCAGATCATAAAGCATCTGATCCACTTTAGTGTCCTACTGAGTTTTATTTATTTAAAAGTATTGTAGGCCCGCTGGTGGAGATTGACAGCCATGCCACATCAGTGCTCGCCAAGGTGCTGCAAAGACGGACCAAAACAAACATCAGCACCTTTGCTGCGGACCGCAGCACGTGCAGAAGAAGGGCGCTGGCTGCCGATGAGGAGAGCAGCTGTGACGCCAAGAGACAGAGACAAAAAGGGCTGCGTGGGCAGCCGTCGGGGGGAAGCTTCTCCAAGAGAAAAGACCTGTACTGATCGCCCTTTTCTCCTTTTCTCTCTCCCTCTAACTAGGTTCAATGACAGACTCAGACCCATAAGAGGATCCCATCTGCCTCTACTCACCCTCCACTCCCTGAACTCTTCCCCATAGGACGGCCATGGGTCCACTGGCCCACCAAAAACCCTGAACCCAGAGCCGTATCTTTTTTTCTCTTACTGCCTCAAATGAGATGTAGTTTTGTTTCACACCCGTTTTCGGACTACAGCCTTTTCTCGCTAAACTGTCTATTTTTGAGTTTGTAATAAACGTCTCAGAGCTCTACTGACCTGTCTCTGGTGTGTGTGTCCAGCTCAGATGTCGGTTCCATTCACAGTAAGTATTTTAACACTTTAAATCATTTCATCCTTTAAGTACTCTATCTTTATGTATTTGTATGTTTACAGATAATACTCTGCAGAAAAGCTTTGGCAATATGAACAAATGTAACCTTCATTAAAGTGTTATTATATACAAGTGTGCCTGAGTGTGTGTGTGTGCGTGTAAGTGCATGAATTTGTGTGCAAAGTACCTTTATTGAGGTGGTGGCCATATCAGAGGAGCTCTCCTCCAGCCCGTACTCTCTTCTCCTCTCCGCCCTGACCTCAGCATAACTACAGAGAAAAAGAAAGACAATAAGAGACAAATAAATGAGAAAAAAGAGATAAATAACTTTCTAAATTAATGTAGGTGAAACTGCAATGATAGAAGCTGTCCACTAGATGGACTCAGAGCTGTGTAAATGTGACTAATTAGTTCTGAGTGAATGACTTTTGTATGCAAGGATTCTTATAAGCCATAATTATGAGCCACTGTCATATCAAAACCTCATAACTCCTATTTTTTGTGCTTTTATTTTACACCATTTGAAAACTCCAGCTGTTCTTTGCAATGTATGAACATTTCATGATTACTGGACTGACAGAAATGGCACAAAATTACCTGGGATAAAATCTATATTGACATGCATTACAGTTAAGAATGTTCTTTTTCTTCTACTGTAAATCTTACAATAAATTGTATATTTATTTATATAATTGTATATATTGTATGTTGTATTAAAAGGTTTTTACAAATTTTAAGTTTAATTGCTGAATTTAATATAAAATGTGGCCTGTGCATCTTTTTCAACACGTTAAACTCAGCAAATAAATGGAGATTTTGCAGTAAAATTGGCAAAAAATGTCATATTCATCATTGTTCTCTGTAGACGATGTGTTGCCTGTAATTTGACCAGGTGTTCAAGCTCTTTTGGGTATGACTGCACACAGCACTATTACTCCATTCACTGCTGTGGTAACAGTGTTTGTTTTAGTTATATTTAATGTGAAAGAAGCCCCTTGAATCTGAATTGGAGGGTTATTGTGTGTGAGTGTGTTTACCTGACGACGGTGTGTGTGCAGACGATGAACTCCGGTTTGGAGTTCCACTGGTGGTAGGTGATGTAGTAGTGTGTCTGCAGCCAGATCCACTGCTGGCCTTTAGTTAGAAAACGATAATAACACGACTTCCCCTTCCCACACTGCATCACTGCGGAGCACAGACACAGAGACAGAGAGAGAGTGAGTGACCTATTTCTGACTGAAATGACTGCACCACAGAGAAAAGAGAGAGAGAGAGAGACAAAGAGGCAGAGAGAGAGAGAGAGAGAGAGAGAGGAAAGAGAGAAGGAGTATATACACCGATGAGCCAAAACATTATGATTAATGTGCCTAACGTGCTGTTGGTCCTCTACTATAACGGTTCGGCTCTTGTCAAAGTGGCTCAGGTCATCACGCCTGTCCATTTCTAAAGCATTTAACAGGCTGACGACATGAAACGACTGAATCTATCTCAGATCCTGACGTGCGCCACTGTTACAAGATAATAAACACGACTCACTTCAGCTGTGATGGTCAAACAGGAGTAGAACTCTCTTCCCTGTGACAAAATCACTGCCTCAAGTGGCTTTTTGCTTTATAAACAGGCGGCCAACATAAAATATGATAAAACACACATTTTTCACAAAATAATGCAAGTTATTATTAATAATAATCGACATAAACAAGTATTCCGCCAAGAAGTGAAGTTCCTTTAGAGTACGGTATCGTATACATCCTGTATTATGGATGTGTTTTAAGTGAGCTGTTCTTTTCTGTTCAGAATTAAAATGATTGACCATATGCAGCCGGAATATTCTGTTTAAAAGACTTAGAAGAGACTCCCAAAGCCATCTAAAGTGACTCTTGTCGGGAAATCCCATTATACCATAAGTTCATCTACACTTTTAAAAATTCTTAAAAGCTTCACATCCTGACAATAGAAGAACCTTTTTGGTGCAATATAGAACCATTTTTTAAAAAAGGTTATGTATAGAAGCATCTACAGCACATTCTCCCATCTGAAAATTTTGTTGCTATATGTGAACCGTGAATCCAATCAAGAAGTTGTATAGAAGCACAAATCACACAATCAGACCGGACATGTTGGAACGATGTTAATGTCTTGAAAACTGCAGGTCGACAAAAATTATGGCAGAAAAATATAAATAAAAGAAAAGAATAACACAAATCTGATATCAATGTTACCGCTCAGCCACACATCAGATAATGCTACTCACATTGTTTGTGGCACTGAGCGATCAGCTCCAGATCGTCTACGTGATAATAATCATATCCAGACGTCCCCAACACCTCGAATGGAAGGTACCCAATGATGGGAGAGGCCCTAAAACACACACACAAACACACAGGTTACACAGACCTGATACACACAAACACAGACATACTTCATATTCCAGTACAGCCTTCACTGAGACTCAAATACATACTGTACTGAGGTTTATTATTAGGTACATCTACCCTCTACCTACATTCACTGGCCACTTAATCAGAAACATCGACCACATTCTACACCGTATACAGAATCACCCTTCATTTTCCAGCCTCGGTGAAAAAAGCAGAAAACACATTTAATGGAAAATGACCCACAAGTGTCAGATCTGAAGTGAGAGTGGAGCTTGATTTTCTCCTCTCTCTCAAAGATGAAAGCTTTAAGTGCTGTTTATCTGACAGGGGCAGTTTTGGTGTCTAGCAGGTCTTCCAGGTGGTTGTTAGGAGCCCCATTTTCTCTGTAGCTTTTATTCATCTTTTTGAACTCCAGGTTTTGCAAACTCTCCCTTTTTTTTGATTTTTCCCCAATTTAGTCATTTCCAATTTCACCTGCTAGCTAGAACCTCCACAATTACATGATACCTTCAAAGCTGGAAGGGCGAAGGCTAGCAAAGGCGTCCTCCGAGACCCGTGAAGCCGCATCTTTTCGAACTGCAGCTCACGCAACGTCATTGGACAGCTGAACGCACTCAGAGGAAAGCGCCAACCGCCAGATCTGTTACATCAGCCAAAAGACGCCTGATTAGCAATCCGCCGAGTGATGAGGCGGGGGGGGGGGCCATCCTACCCACGCAGAGAGCAAGGCCAGTTGCGCTCTCTTGGACTCAAACTCATGATGTCCTGATGGTAGGGCCAACGCTTAGACGGTTGCGCCACTCGGGAGCCCAAACTCAGAATATCTTGCGTCTAATCTCCTCAGAAACATCTCCTGAAAAACTTGTCCTTAACGGCTGTTTTTTTGCAAAGTAGTGTGCAAAACTCCAAAAGTTTGGACAGATTAGATTATACTCCATAATACAAGACAATTAAAGGGGAATTCCACCAAAATTCTAAAAAAAAAATTCTGCATGACTGAATGTTTAAGACGTAAACAGTCACTCAGAGTGGTCTGATGCAAAATGCTCTGTTCTAGAGGATCACTGACAGCAGAAAACGTTTAATTAAGAAACAGAACACTCAAGGTTGTATGTTATCGCGAAATAACATCACGGCTTATTTCGATGTGATTTAGTCATAGATCATCACAGCCGTGTTGTTATTGCCGATAACACACTCCTCGAGTGTTCTATTGCTTTTACACAACAGTTAAATAAATAAAGTAAGAAATTAATAAACTGGTCCGTGAACGCGGCATTTAATATGTTTTAATGTTCGCAGTTCCTTCCACCAATTATAGTTCCTTAACAAGCAGCTTGTTGCTACGTCAGAGTAATGAGCTCCGCCCACTCACTGCACAGTCTGCTGTAAGCCTCGTCCTTTGAAGTGCGGACTGAGCCATAAAACTGCCGAAATGTCAAAAAACAAGTTCAGCTCAGTTTTGTCAGTTTTTGCCAGATCAGTATTAATGTTGTTTTGTTCCAGCCAGTCTGTAAAGCATTTTACAGCCCATTTAGTTTGGCGAATGGTATTGGGTTCATTTCTGGCTGATTCCAGGTTGTTTAGCTGTTCTTCTGTCACAGCTGCCGACTGAAAAGCTGCTCAGTGGTGATGACAGTTTGGGAATTTAGTGTCGTCTCATCTTCAGAGTCTGACCAACTCGGCTGTTGGTCAAATGTGATCTTAAAAGTGTCCATTTTCTGTTTGTGGCAAAGTAAGAAGTAAAAATGTTCAAATGCCTTGAGCGTCTCCTACAGCTGTCAAAGGCGTTGCTTAGCAACAGCGTCTCAGTGGAGTGATACAGTGTTTGTAAAAAAAAAAAAAAAGTGATGTTATGGTGAAATATCAGCACCGTTAGAACGACTCTCAACCAATCAGCTTGAGCGGCCGAACTAACTGTTGTATAATACCTCTTTGAAAGCTACTAGAACGCTGCCGGACGTGTAAGACATTGTTTAATGGTAGTTCTGAGAACGTTTTGGTGTAAAACATCTTTAAATCTGTTGGTGGCAGAGAGGTACATGCAGGGTGTTGTGAAGTTAAACAGTGTTGAGTTTTCTCTGATTTAGCACTATTTTACCTGGAGTGCAGCGAGACGTCAGGAACCAAATGTCTTCTATAAAATAGCTAGCTAGTGTTTTTTTTTTATTGGCAAAAACACTTTAACTGCCCAGATAAACAGTGTTAAACAATTTGCTCAGGTGCCTCAGACTGTGGCACAGTACTGTATAAACACTCTGAAGACATGTAGGTTCACTGGTGGTTTTGGACAGTAAATAAATTCTCTATATTTGTGTTGTAGTCATGGCGACCCCTGGTTCCTATCACCACCACTGTAAAGAAACCAGAACCATTTCACACCAAACCACTCTGAGTGACTTTGGATTATGCAGAAATTTGGAAAACTTTGTGGAATTCCCCTCTAATACACACACATACAATCTGGGAACCATATATATTCACCATCCAGTGTGCAAAAGTTTAAGCACCCCTGATCAAATTCCCATCCTCTACAGAGAACAGACAACCAGTTTTCTTCATTTTTCAAGTTTAACATATTGAAAATATAAAGCATACAATATAATACATGCAGTAAGTTTTGCACAGGCAATATTTAATGTTTTTTTTTCTGAATATGTTAAATGAAACGATGTATTAACTTTCACTCAGAAAGTGTGTAATTTACTAAACAGAGTGCTCATCATTTTGTAAATGACTGTACATGTGTGTATGAGTGAAGGTGTGTATTAGAGAAGGATTATAATTAATAGCGATGGTTATGATGATGATATAAGCTTGTGTAAACTTTCATTCATTCCATTCTGTAAAGCACCCCACAGTGTGTGTGTGTGTGTGTGTGTGTGTGTGTGTGTGTGTGTGTGTGGCTGAAAGGTTCTGGTAGGCGTGTGTGAATATCCAATAATAGCGCTGTAGAGGACAGGACATCCAGTCTCTCCCCTCACACACAGTTACATAACCTCCTCTCAGCGTTTCCCACACAGCAGAGGCAGAGCTGTCGCTGACCATTACACTAATAATCCAGTAGAGCTGCCTGAATCGCTTGAATAACCGAGTATTCGTTCGTTTTGTTGGTACTCGTTTCTTTATTTAATATTCACAAGCTTCCAATTTAGATTGTTTAAGACAGTTTTGTTAAATCTATATAAATGGATAAAGAAGCATCATCAGAACATATTTATTACTTTCCATCCTCACACACACACAAACACACACACACACACCTCACACAGTGCCTTGACCTCGTTACCTGTTCTTTGTATAAGCTGCTGATGTAATAACAAGCATGAAGAATCGGAAACAGAACTGAGTCGCTGGAGTGAGTCAGGAGTTGTTTGAGTGAACAGTGAATCAGTTGACTCACCTGTGGTCTAAGAAGAGGAATTTCCACTCCAGACTGTGTCTCGACGTGAATTCATCACACGGATCTTCAACATTACACAAATCCTGGTACACACACACACACACACACACACACACACGCACACACACACACACACACGCACACACACACACACATACATAAGGATATTATGCACATGAATCACATTACTATTAATTATGGGTAGTTATTTATAATAAATATAAGAAATTACTATTACATATGGATACATATGTATATGTATGTGATATGAGACACTATTATTACATATAGTTACTAACAAATATAATACATGTAAGACATATATTACATACGAATTACATACAGATATTACATACAGATGTATATGTTGCATATGCATCACATTATTATTACATAAAGGTTCTTATATATATATGAATGTATATATAAATGTATGATTACAGGAGAAGGAAAAAAACATACATACAAAAAACAAGTCAATGGAACCAGACATCTTTTCAAGTAATTCTGGGTCATTTATATATATATATATATATCACTGTTGGGAAAAACTTTCAGTCTGGGGCAGCAGACATGATCCAGAATGGTCCAGACATTTATATACACTAATGGTTATGAATTTATTTTTACCCTTTTACATTACAAATAACTTTCTGGAAATACAGACATACAAATAATATACATTCAGAACAACCTGATATACTGACACTTCATCAAAACAAATATGTGTGTGTGTGTGTGTGTGTGTGTGTGTGTGTATGTGTGTGTATGAGTGTGTATGTGTGTGTTTTCTCTCACCTTAAGGAACTGAGGAGTGACCAGTCTGACTGTTGCCACCAAACACACCTGCTCCTCCAGAGAGGCCTGGAGTGTCCGCGGAAACACCAGCTCATACCCGTTACACGACGACGTAGGCACTGTAACACAGTTTAATAATAATTCATAATGAAGCCTTTAAAAACAACACACACACACACACACACACACACACACACACACACACGCACACCCTGATGTAACCCTGTCTGATCACACAGTGTAAAAGTAAGTGACAGCAAGCAGATCATTACGACTGTGTAGAATATCTGTGACAGTTATAGTTACACACACAGCTTTTATCTTCCACCCCACACACACACACACACAGCGTCAGAGAGGTGTGTATGAGTCAATTATTTAGGCACACAAGCATGCACACACACACACAACCATAACACACACAAACATGCACACAAACACACTATAACACACAAACAGAGTGTCAGAAAGCACACAGACTCATAAAAACAGCACAGAACATGTCAGATTATAATTACAGCCCACAGCAGCCTGAGGAGGCTCCTCTGTTTACAAGACGGGAAACTCAAAAATACACAAGAAAAGCAGGAATCCAGCTGAGCGCGAGCTGCTGTCTCTAAGGCTACGTTTATATCACAGCGTTTAAATGGCACAAATCCAATTTTTTACCTATAGTCAGACGTTTCAGACCTGGAATCCAGAGCTGAATTAACGAAGTTTTTTCTTAAGAAAACCTTCGTTAATTCAGCTCTGGATTCCAGGTTTTGTTGATTTACTAAGTGAAAATAAGTTACTATCTCATTTTTTAGCACACAATCTTTATTTTATTCACTGAGTTTAACATATTGGAGAAATAAAACATACATTATGAAATGTGCCATAATGTTTTCACAGGTCAAATTTTATACTTCATTATTTTTCCAATATGTTAAATTACACAAATAAACAGTAACTCTGCATAATAATGTGCAGAAGTGTGTTTGGTGTGGAGGATGTGTTCACTTACTTTCACTTCTAATATATTTCAAATCAATAAAACGTCATTTGCCTGAGGCTGCCCTGACTTTTGCATATGACTGTAAATGGGACAGATCTGATTTATTCCAAGTTGTGTGAACACAAAAACAGGTGTTACTGGAAACAGATCAGAATTTCTGTGTATACCTTTTCCCATCGTACACTAGTCTCTTAGGGCCAAACGTGTCCTCTTAATGAGAATACGCACCTATGGACCTACTCTTGATCAGATCTGAACAAAAATCATAACTGAGGAACTAGGCTTACAAAATGACCACAGAACAAAAGGCCCTGAGGTCGTCCACCTCTGGGGCAGTGTGGGCAGTCTCTGCTGGAGAGGAGTGGAATAAACAGGAGATAAAAGCATAATAATAATAATAAAGCAGAATACACACCGCTGTTATGAAACTTGAAATCTCCAACGAATTTGACGTACTCGTAGGTGGGCGGCTCCTTCGGATCGATATTTCCCCTCACCAAGTGACAACAAAACTCCACATGAGTCTCACCTGAGAGAGAGAGAGAGAGAGAGAGAGAGAGACTAAACCCTGTTATTTTTCACACTCATCAAAAACTAAACCCTCCTCAGGATGAACAGCTCATAAATATATATATATATATATACATATATATATATACTATATATATATATATATATATATATATATATATATATATACACGTAGAGAGAGAGGGGGGAGAGAGGGAGAGAGAGAGGTAGAAAGAGAGAGGGAGAAAGAGAGAAAGAGAGAGAGGGAGAAAGAAAAGGGGAGAAAGGAAGAAAGAGAGAGAGAGAAGGAAGAGAGAGAGGGAGAAAGACAGGACAGAAGGAGAGAGAAAATGAAGGGAGACAGAGGAGAAAAGCTTGATTAGACATGCAGGACATTTGTTCAAACACAACACAAATGTAATGTAAACATTATTAATTAATTATGTAATTAATGTTGTAAATATGTAATTACATTTAAAGATCCTTAAGATCCTGCATGTTTCTCGTAGTTTTCCCTTCTGCCTGAGGTCCAATTCTAACATTTCTGTGGTTTTACGCATCAAAAGCAGGCATCATTTATTTTTATATGACCATTTTACTGTGTACTTAAGACTGGAAAATGTAAATGAGCTCTATTCTGATTGGCTGTCCTGTATTGTGTCTTGTTCAAAGGGCAGTTCGGGGTGAAACCCTCCGTCAGCCTGAATGTGCGGTGCTAAACTGAAATTGGCTGAAAAGATGTAAAAGTGTTGTTCTTTTGTGACGTCGCAGAAACAGTGAATTTAAAATTCAATAAGAAATGAGCTTTGGATCCTCATGATTCTCCACCTGCAGGGTTTCATTTGGATGCTCTCTCTCTATCCCTCTCTCTCTCTCGGATTAGGGTCAGAGGGTGAGGGATTACCACAGCAGCGCAACTCAGATTAGCAGCATTACTGTGTTGGACACGCAGCGCTGCAAAATTAGCCCTGAAGCTAATCATAGTAGAACACAGCAGCCAGCCAATCAGAGTGCAGTATGACCTACAGCCAATCAGAGTGCAGTATGACCTATGGCCAATAATGGTGCAATATGATCTACAGCCCACTGCAGCCAGCCAACCAGAGTGTAGTATGATCTACACCTCACTGCAGCCAGCCAATCAGAGTGCAGTATGACCTATGGCCAATAATGGTGCAATATGATCGACACACCACTGCAACCAGCCAACCAGAGTATAGTATGATCTACACCTCACTGCAGCCAGCCAATGAGAGTGCAGTATGGTCCACACTCTACTGCAACCAGCCAACCAGAGTGTAGTATGATCTATAGCCCTCTGCATCCAGCCAATCAGAGTGCAGTATGCCCCAAAGCCCATGACCCAAAACTCTCAAACTGCAAGAACTGCAGTTTTAACTGTAGCCTGTTTTAAATGGGGAATTTTAACCTAATAACACAGAGCCGGTGAACAGCCTGTAGACAAGTTGGACCAATCAGAAGAAGCTAAACACTCACATGATGCGTACATGACATCACAACAATAATTAACCGGCAGTCTGGCGTCTGCGCTTAGTGCTCCAGTCTGAAGACAGGAAAAGTGGAGGTGCTGATCTTCTGGCCTGGAACTTTATAGAAAATAATCACAGTCGCAACGTCGGTCCGAAACATCACTATTAGATATCTAATCCTAAATATGTATGTGTATGTCTGTCGGGGGGGAGGGGCAGTAATGTAATAAGCGCACTGGGTCAGCGGCGGACTTTGATGAGTTATTCATCAGGACATCCCCTATAACGGAATAAAGGAGACATCAAACAGTGCAAAGGTCAGACGACAGATTCTCGCAGCATTGCCACAGCAACAGCCAGCGAAACCTTCCCCAAGGCAGAGGAACTTTCTATCAGGGTAGCAGTTTAAATTTACTTTAGAGATCTACTCGAAATAAAGTTTACTTTACAGTTCATTTCAAACAGAACCTCCTGCAGAGTTCACTGTAAACATTTACACAAGTTCAGCCTGAAACGAAATGAAACGTTCAACTAAAAACGCTTCAAAGACTTTAATGAAATAAATAAAAATAAAATAAATACATAAAAAACTAAATAATGTCAATAGAGATATATAAGTGTTGTGTACCTTTTAAATTATAGATGTGTTAATGTTTATGTGTTTTAAGGTGACCTTAGCAACCAACTGGGATGCCACAGCAATGGCCTAGCAACACCTTAGCAACCACTGTGGAAACCATAGCAACTGCTTAGCAACACCAGGCAATACCATCTTAGCAACCACCTGGGATGCCACAGCAATGGCCTAGCAACACCTTAGCAACCACTGTGGAAACCATAGCAACTGCTTAGCAACACCAGGCAATAACATCTTAGCAACCACCTGGAATACCACGGCAATGGCCTAGCAACACCTTTGCTACCACTGTGGATACCATAGCAACTGCTCAGCAACACCAAGCAACTAACATCTTAGCAACCGCCTGGCATACCACAGCAATGGCCTAGCAACACCTTAGCAACCACTGTGGATACCTCAGCAACTACTTAGCAACATCAAGCAACTAACATCTTAGCAACCACCTGAGATATCACAGCAATGGCCTAGCAACACCTTAGCAACCACTGTGGAAGCCACAACAACTGCTTAGCAACACCAGGCAACTAGCATCTTAGCAACCAACTGGGATACCACAGCAATGGCCTAGCAACACCTTAGCAACCACTGTAGATACCATAACAACTGCTTAGCAACACCAGGCAACTAACATCTTAGCAACCGCCTGGGATACCACAGCAAAGGCCTAGCAACACCTTAGCAACCACTGTGGATACCATAGCAACTGTTTAGCAACACCAGGCAATTAACATTTTAGCAACCACCTGGGAAACCACAGCAATGGCCTAGTAACACCTTAGCAACCACTGTGAATACCAAAGGCAACTGCATAGCAACACCTGGCAACTAAAAGCTTAGCACCTTTTTAAACGGAATTATTGTGACTTGCTACTGAAAGAAGAAAGAAAAATGCTTTAAAAAATATATATATATTAGCCAGTATGTGTGTGTATATTTGTGTGTATATGTGTGTGTGTGCGTATGTGTGCGTATGTGTGTGTGTGTATGTGTGTGTTTGTGTGTGGTGTGTGTGTGTGTATATGTGCGTATGTGTGTGTGTATTTGTGTATATGTTCATATGTGTGTGTGTATATGTGGGTGTATGTGTGTGTTTGTGTGTGTGTGTGTGTGGTGTGTGCGTATGTGTGTGTGTATGGGTGTGTTTGTGTGTGTGTGGTGTGTGTGTGTGTGTGTATGTGTGTGTGTGTGTTTGTGTGTGTGTGTGTGGTGTGTGCGTATGTGTGTGTGTATGGGTGTGTTTGTGTGTGTGTGGTGTGTGTGTGTGTGTGTGTGTATGTGTGTGTGTGTTTGTGTGTGTGTGTATATGTGCATGTGTGTGTGTGTGTGTCTGTATGTGTATGTGTGTGTGTGTGTATGTGTATGTGTGTGTGTGTATATGTGCGTGTGTGTGTGTGTGTGTGTCTGTATGTGTGTGTGTGTGTGTCTGTATGTGTATGTGTGTGTGTGTGTGTCTGTATGTGTATGTGTGTGTGTGTGTGTGTATGTGTATGTGTGTGTGTATGTGTGTGTGTCTGTATGTGTATATGTATGTGTGTGTGTGTATGTGTATGTGTGTGTGTGTTCACTCACTGCTCTCCAGGTAGTCGGCGGTGATGGGGTCACTCATCAGCAGGTGTGAGGACAGCAGTTTGTAGACCTCCGCATGTTCGCGCTCGGGCAGGAAGTTCAGGATGTTTTGGTCCACCATGTCTGACTGAAACACACCAGCAACAACCACAGTGTCACCGCCTGTAGTTCACCAACATGACGGGTTATACTGAGTTTATTATAGTGAGAACAGATGTTTTCTTTCTGTCACACAGAGCAGCGGCGGATCATGGCTTTTAGAGCTGGGCCTTCAGTTCAGGCCATAAATTACAAGAAGCAAGGCAAAAAGTCAAAAACAAGGGAAAGCAGGGTCGCTGCTGTCGGAACAAAACCTCTTATCTCCAAAACGGTCGCTTTACAGGAGAAGGAAAAACATACTTCTTTTAATGTAAGTCAATGGAACCAGACTTTTTTTGGGGTCGGTGCTTTTGGTCCATTCATCATGAAATTGACATACAATGTAAAGAACAACAGACATGATCAAACTATGTCAAAAACTGAAAAACGACAAAAATCGACATACGAGGTTTTTGCCCGACAACAGTGAAATGTTGATTTCTGCTAGCAGCCCAATGGGATTCTAGTAGCATATTAGCACTGAGCTAATGTCGATTCATTCACATAGCCAGATTAGATTTAACATAAAATACTGCTGTAACAAGAAGTAATTTTGGTATTTTCAAATTACGTTAAAAAATGAAAAATGACAAAAAAGGATACAAGGTTCTGTTTTCCATTTCTAACAACTGGCTGAAAGCTGGTTAGATGGCTTGTATTCACAGTCAGTGACGTATCTAGAACTGCCAGAAGGCCTAGAGTGACTTTTTTGGTTCCACAAAACAAGACTGGTTGATTTCTCTGTCAGTTCCTAATTATGTTGGTTGTTAATCTGGACTGTCAGGCCTTCAGTCCAGCTCCTGAAGTCCTAACCAATGGGAGAGCTCCGTTGGCTGTATCTACCCTGATACCATGGAGAGGACTGGATGATTTTCTGTCCAATTATTTTAACCTTTTTGTTTCCCTTTCGTTTGATTTTTCTGCAAAAGTTAGGAGCTCCAGCCGTTCAAAGCATTATGGGAAATGAAGTCTTCTGTCTGAAGTGACCTGTAGAAGTGAGTGCAGTAAATCCTGCTGGTGTTAATCCAGTCAAACGCCACAGCAGGGTGTAACACGGTGATGTAACTGCCCTCGTCTCTCATGTGACACTGAACCGCAGTGCACACAGCACATGTAACACTCAATCACATTAGCGCCAGGGGATGCGACGGGACACTCGGCCCGTTTTATGTGTCTGCCTTATTAAACAGAAGAGTGGATTCATGCACTAACGACCGTGATGGATTGGCTCATCAAGTTAAATGAACAGCATTTAAAGGGGAATTGCACCAACTTTTCAAAATTTCTAAATATTTTAGTCCTTGAGAGTCATTCAGAGTGATAGGAACCAGGAGTCCCCATGTCTACAACACAAATATAGCCATTTTATTTACTATTCAAGACCACCAGTGAACCTACACGTGTCTTCTGAGTTTTTATATGTAACGTTTATTAAGGTTAAATAGTGATAAATCTAAAAATAAGTTTTCTTTGGGGACTGTTTTGCCTCACAACGCCCTGCATGTATCCCTCCGCCGTGAATGGACTGAAATAAATGGATTAAAATACATTTTAAGCCAAAACTTTATCACACAACTATCATAGAACAGTATCTCAGATATCAGGCAGCAAATATCTAACCATTTCATGTAGTAACTTCCTACTTCCTGTGAGGGAGCTTTTAGAGGTGGACGTCTGGTTCCTATCACCACCACTGTGAACAGTTCTGACTCGTTAAGGTTCTCTATAACAGAGCATTTCACACCAAACCACTCTGAACGTTTTTAATCTTAATGATTAAGTTATGTAGAATTTAAAAAAATCGGTGGAGTTCCCCTTTACTAAACCCACACTGTTATTTATATCACAGATTTAATTCTATAAAAAATAATAAGCTGTTTATGTTTTTCATGGAAGCCACATTCTCTTCACACTGTGCCTCATAAATACTGCATGAACAACTAAACCGCTTATGAAACATCAACAATGGAATATAAGGGAAAAAAGAAACATGCTGAATCTCCAGGGGTCTCCGCTTCAACCGACTCCCCCAGAAAATATGGTGCATGTGGGCTGCTTCGCCTAAATTTAGCCAAACACGATCATTTATCTCTGAGTCATCACTTAAACTGGGCAAAAGGTTCGAAACATGAGTCATCCTCTCCAAACTGCAGAGATTAACCAAATTCCTAAACAGCACTGAATCTACTAAAGACGCTGATTGATATTTGCCTGTTCACACAAAGACCTGGAGCCGTTTTACAGAAACGTCCTATGTTTTAGTCTGAACTCCAGATCTGACAGGTCAAGATATGATTTTTCACACATTCGTATTACATAAGATTTAGGAACCTCATCTTACAGCATCTTATCTCCAGTTAGGAAATCTTACTTGATCAAAGTCGACAATCAACTGTCATGTCTGTTTCTTAGCAACTGAGTATACACACACAGCTGAAACGTAAACACGTCTTTAAAGTAATCAAGCCAGCCAGACAGCTAACATTAGCTACCATTACTGATGTAAAAAAGGTCAAACTAAACTAAAGTGTGATACTGTGAGTTGTGAATACTGAGAGCGCCCCCTGCTGTTTATTAGAGCGTTGCCGCTCCCCAGGTTCAGTCTCCATTTCCCAAACGCTTTAGCCGAGCGTGCTAACGTTACTCATCCTAATAAACAGACACACGTTCAGCTCCGTCTCCTCATTATTCACCACCATCACTGTAATATTTCATCATCAACATTAACACACAAAGGTAATCAGAGGGGCGGTGGAGATCGAGTCTGCAGCGTCTGAGATCTTTAAAACGCAGAGTTAGAAAAGAAAATCATCTCACAGTGAAAGCAGCGTTTTACAGTAGAAATAAATGGAGCTCATTATGCTGGTAGTGAACTATGCTGCCTGACACAGCTGCCTAAAAACCATAGTAACGGACCTTAAACAGAAGTGAGGACCCTGTTGGGGTTCATCCTAAAGTTAGGACAGGATTTAGGAGGTTTAGTCCAGTTAGGATGTTTGTGTGATGCTGTTTTCTTATCTGGAGTTAATGATGAGATTATGAAGTCAGGAACTGTTATTCTGTAATAGATACTGTCCTGAATTCAGTCTGTACTAAAGTCGTCATGGTGACTAAACAGATCAGAGCTCAGAGTTAAGATGTTTCTGTAATATGGCTCCTGGTGCTCAAACATGAGAATAATGTTCACACAGCAGGTAAAAGTGGCCCAAATCTGTGTTTTTTGTTTGGCTGTTCACAGATCAGCTCCTAAACTGACCCGCATGTGCAGAAGAACAGAGCTTCACGCAGCTCATCCAGAGGTAAACAATCACAACTGCCAACGAACGCCAGTCGCTCCCGGAGGATCAGCTTCACCTTCACCAGCATCACAGGAGCCATGATGAAGCTTCACTGACTGACAGCTGGGCTCATCACCCAGAATGTGTTTGAGCTCTCTGTAAAAAGGGCGTGGCCACTTCTTTGGTTCGTGTCCTCAGATTCTTTAAAATCTCTTCGAACATGGAGGACAGAAACATCAGCCTAAGTGTTTATGAGTCTCAGCAGCATAAAATGAGGTCGAATGTCGACTTGGACTGACGTAAAAGTCGCATGAATTTCAGTACCACATACAAAAGCATCTCAAATCGGAACAGAAAATGTCAGTTTTTTTTGCTGTTCACACTGAAACAAAAAGATCAGATTTGGGCCACTTTTACCTGCTGTGTGAACAAAGCCTAAATGTCTTTACAAAATGGATATTTTCAGTTCTAAAATCTGATTGGCTGAGCCAGGTTCAAAGTCATACAAATATGATGGCACACAACAGTCGGAAAAATGAGACCTGCTGTGCTACGTGATCATACGCTGACAAGCACAACATGGTGATGATTAGGGATCCTTCACTTACTGGTAAATGGCCAATCAGAGAAGAGACGCTGTCGGATACATAGATGATGTTTCCGTCCGTGGTGAGTGCAATGAGGAAACCGTCCAGAGCCTGTATAGAAAATAAAAAATGAAATAAAAAGTTTAAGTTTATACATTTTTAAAAAAAGTATATTAATTAAAAATATCATGGTTTTCATATCTAAACCTTATAATAATTGGAAAACTAATGGAAAACACCAGCTTCCCTTTACACAGTGTGAACATTTCAAGAGGAATGGACCAACAGAAATTTTCCAAAATGACTCAGAATAAAATGAAGCTACTATTATTTACACTAACATTCAAAAGTTTAGAATGATTGATTTTAATCATATAAAACAATTCGCAGCAGCTTCACAGCTTTCAAATAACTAGTATGAAGCTGTAATTGTTGGACGTGACCAGAATGACAAACAGCTGCAGTAAATGATAAAATGACTGAGAAACCTTTTCTAATTAATAAATATCCAAAATTCATCGCATTTCAAAAGTGGAGATCAAATCTTATTGCAGATAATTTGCCAAAAAATGACCCGAAATAGATAATTACAGTATATTATTTACCAATTAACAACTTTTTTTTATAGAATTCTTCAAATACTGAATAGAACATCTAAAAACGCATTTTGTCGAATAGTCTGTAATATTAAAATCCACATTGTAGAAGTTATCATTGTATTTAAATTAACAACCACTGTAAATGTGGTGATTCCAAAACTCTGCCACTGCGAAGTTATCAGTTTGAAGATGAGGCTTTTGTTCTGACAGCGACAATTTGCACCTTTTCAAAATATGTAATGTGTCATTTTTCATCCTGTAATTGTGATGAAATGGTCTTACAAAGGCAGTTCGGTGGCGCGATGCTAGGAAGGTATGCCAATCATCCAAATTAGCCTCGCTGTCATTCCTGTCATCGCAGACAAGCTTTTTTTGTGCTGCAAATACAGCATAAACCACATCAGGGGCGCAGTGGGCTAGTTTCGGTTGCTAGGCATGCAGGGGCCAAACCTCAGCGCTGACACAATGATTAATCCTGCGTCTGTTTGAACCACAGTGGGGGCTTCAAAGACGTCTCTGGCTGTAAAAGACAAACTGCTTCTTATTCACTAGAACCCTGATTCCGCTTTATGGAACAGAGACGGAATCACGGCACTGTTTTTTCCTCTGATGATGAAAATGATTTGATTTAACATTCAAAGGCTTTTTATTCAGTAATTAGAGAAGTTAGTGGGCTGGTTTTACCTGAGGAGGTGCTGTAATCTGAGGAACTGAATGGGTTCATTCAAATTACCAAATGCTGCCCAACACAACAGAAAACGCACTTGTGAGAGGTACTCTCTTTGCAAAAACGGTTCTACATAGTACCAAAAAGGGTTCTTTGGCTTGGGCAAAACATTTCTAACAGTACAATTTCTATTGTTTTATTATTAGAATTAATATTATTACACATATGATCTAATTACACACTTAAAATGATGGTTCTTCAAGGGTTCTTTAGTAAAAAAAAATGGTTCTATATAGAATCATGAACCCTTAAAGAACCCTTTGCAGTATTAAAGGGTTCTTTGCGTCATGAAAAGGTTCTTCAGATTGACTAAGAATGTACTGGTTCAATATAGAACCTTTTTGAACCTTTTGTGGTATTCTATTGTTATGATGTCAGGCTTGTTACAATAGGAGAACCCTGTTTGGTGCTATATAGAACCCTTTTCAAAAAGCTTCTTTTTCAGAGTGAACTTTCAGGATATTTCTTTTTCTCCCTCCTTTTAATTCAACCGTCACCAAACACATGGATTACAGTACACTCTTAAAAAAGAATGGTTCTTTAGTCAAGACAATGGTTTTATATCAGACAATGAACACTCAAAGAACCCTTTGCATGATTGAGGGGTTCTTTGCATGGTGAAATGGTTCCTCAGATTGATGGAGAATGTGTTCTAGATGGTTCTATATAGAAAAGAGTTCTATATAGCATCTTCTAACAATGGCATGTAACAATAGTGAAGCCCTTTTTGGTGTTATATAGAACCCTTTTCAAAAAGTCCATGTTACGGATTGCAGTACACTCTTTACAAACAGGGTTCTCTATTCAAGAAAATGGTTCTATACAGAACCATGAACACTCCATTGTGAAAGCGTTCTTCAGATTGATGGAGAATGTACTGTAGATGGTTGTATATGGAACCTTTTTGAAAAGGGTTCCACTATTGTTACAAGCCAAAGAACCTATTTTAGTACTACATATAACCCTTTGAACTGAGAGTGTAACCTAGTTATGAACTGAAAATGTGGGAATTGAGTCAAATCAAGCTCCATTTTAGCCATTAGCCATTAGCCACTAGCCATTAGGCGTTAGACGTTAGCCATTAGCTATTAGCCGTTAGCCGTTAGCCTTGCCTTCCGATCACAAAAGACAGAACTTATTTTAACTGAAGGTGTGATGTCAATTCAAACAGGACCGTTTTGACCGAGGAGCTCCGAGTTTGGCCAGTTAGAGAAGGTAATCAACTCTGGAATTATTACTCAGCAGACCTGGAAACACAACAGACTTTGCAGGATTAAAATCACGTATATTGTCAGTAATCACTCAAACTCCAGCCCCTCCTCAGATTAAGCTAATCCAGCTCCAACAGGGATTGTAATTCTCCAAACTCTGAGCTCCTTCAGTAACAGCAGTCCCATCTGAATCGACCTCACAGTAACGTAATAACAAATCTGGAGACGAAGCTAATCGCTAAATTTAGCCTTAGGGCTCTCAGCACAGTTGCTTTATCCTCGAGTTCAAAACAGGGTCCTAGACTGTGATGATCTCCTTAGAACCCATGTGTCACAAGCACACAAGGCCCGTGGGCCAGATCGGGCCCATAGCACTACAATCCCCAGCATGCACTGCAGCATAATGTGCACAGTATTGTGTATTAAGTATTCATTATGTAATATTTCAAGGTGATGTTGGTGATTTGGAGTATTCTTAATAAACAATGTTCAGCTCAGGTTATAGCAAATGTTATTTAACAATCAAATAAAAACACAGACGATCTCTGGCCCTTAGATTTGTAGAGGTTTTTTTTATTTTTGGCCCTTTTAGTGGTTGAGTTTGACACACCTGCCTTAGAAGGAGAATGAAAAATGAAATATCTGAAGTTCCTCTCTGTTTAACCGAATGAGCTCACTTTACTGTTCTGATGCTAATCTATCTGCTGGAAGTTTGTCTTTACTGTTTACTTGGATCCGTTTAATTCTGATCTTAACCTTGAAGTGAACGTCCACCTGCACACGTCGCATTGGACATCCACTCATTACCAGCCGTACTCATTTCTCGTCGTGAAGCTGTGTGGAGCTGTTCGAGTAAGGAAGCACTAACGGCTCTATATTATTTCCTCGCCTTAAAACCGCTGGCACTCGCTCAGAATTGCTGCGTTTAAAGTTTAATGATCACTTCCCTCGCGCCTCGCTGGGCTGCAGAGGAATAACCCTGACAGCTCAACACTTCCTGCCTTTTCCGCCGTAGCGCTGACTCACTAATCCGCAGCGCTTCCTCTGCTTTGATTCCTCTGTAATAAAGCAGAAACGTATGCAACACGTTTCCTTCTCTTTGGCCTCCAGCGCTGATAGAAAGCAGCTGATCCGCTCCTGAATTAAGGAATGTGTAGGAATAATCATGGACCACAGTATTCCTGAAGGACATACCGGCAACTGGTTGTAATGACCTTTTTTTGTTTTTATATAATTTATCATTATTATTTTATTTATTTATGTAATCATTTTTAGCAAAAATGCTAAAAATACATTTTAGCATGTAAAGACTAATTCTAGTCAATATATCCCACATCTATCATTATGAGATTGTTATAACAATATTATAAGACTATTTATCTTATTTCTAGACATTTAATTAATGTTAATCATTTTGGTTATTAACACTTTATTAATATGAATTTGCCAGCTAGTTTTGTTCTTTATCATTTCTTATTATTCCAGAATATTATATCTTAGCAAGTGAAAACATCTTAAATCTTGCCCTTATATCTAATATTTCTCATTATGAGACTGTTATAAGAAAATTATAAGTACATTTAACTTATTTCTGTACATTTTGTACTTATTTTAAGCAATTTTATCTTATGAAAGTGACCTGTTTTGAGGAATAATGCTGATAATTTTGCTTATTTTAAGTGGTCTACCCACAGAATGAGACACTTTTATGAGATAAAGTTATTCAAACCAAGAACAAAGTGTACAGAAATAAGTTAAATAATATCATAATTTGTGAATCTCTATTTGTGAATCTCTATATGCAAAGTTTGTTTGAGCCTAAAGCTTAAAATTTATGTTAGCCCAGCGCAAATTTATCACAAATTTATTGGAAACCCACATAAAATGACTAAAATGTTGATTAGCCTAAAACTTGCTAAGAAAAACCAAAACAAGTGCTGAATGCCACTGGCTCAAACCCGCTGGAGTGAAACTGTGGCACTGCAGACGGATATTATTAGACCTGTTTTTCACAGATTCATGGCCATTTTAAAAACAAAGCTAAGTGCAGTTCTATGCAAATCTATGGGATGAAATGTTTGCACATATCTTACCACACATTCACTAAAAACACCAAAAAATATTTTGGTTGCTGTTGCTGTTTTCTGTGTTTTTATGTAAAACAGCGTGATTTAAAAAGATTCATCCGATTTAAAAATGATTTATTTCACTTGTAAATCATTACAGAACAACGCAGTAAACTGTAAATGGTTTAAATGAGCATAAAGTTTATTATGTAATTTTACAAGGTCTCAGTATGAACGTCCTCCAGCTGTACAGACAATATCAACACCATAGTCAAATTCACCCCATACTGGAATGAGCAAGCCGGGCGTCGCTGCACTCACGGCTCTTTCAGTGCGATTTCAGAGATTATCTAGTGTTGTGGAATCAACGACGAACGCTCTGAGCTTCACCGCTGACGAAAAGCACGCTGCATAGTTATGACTGATTCACTCTTATTGAAGTGGAGAACGCAGAACACTTTCTGCTCAGGGGTCTCATCTCCTTTCAGACTGAAGGGAGCCATCTTCCGGTGACAGTCAGAAACACTATGACCCCTCTTTCAATTGGACTGTGATTGGTTCCTAGGCGCCTCACGGTCATAAAAATACGGCACTTTGAAATCGGATGAATCTTTTCCAATCACCCTCCATAAACGTCTCTATTGCTTGTTTATTACTCATATAAACTTTATGTAGGTGACATAAAGAGATCAACAATAAAATTCTGAATAGCTGCCTTGACTGTCACCAGGTGATGTAGCTCGATATAAAGAAGCGGACTTGGACTTTCTTTTAACCACCATGGAGTAGGAAGACAGTATAGTTAGGCTGTTATAGTGTGTTTTATTCCAATGGAATATAGCCTTTTATAGAACCTCTAGAAGCTCTAGCAGCTCTATAAGCGTGACTTCTTGTTGGCATTCCCGCGAAACACTGGATATATAAGGAGCGTTTTACCTCCAACATTAACTGAGTGAATTCCTCGTTGCTGAGGAACGAAGGCTTCCAGTCCTGCCGGATCTCACACGACTCAGTCTGCGCTGTGATCTCTGGAAAACATAAAACAGCCGCAAAACTCACACTGAGACCTCAGTCTGGAATTTTTGGGATTCTTGAGGCATGTGGGGCTGGAATTTTAAAAGCTGGGAGTCAAGCCAGAAGAGACGATCAGTACCAGAGTTTCAGAAGAACAAGAACGAACAGGTGGTCAGTTTATGTTAATTGTTCATTCTCTTGGGAATTCTGCAGCTCAGGGTAATAAAAATTCCATAGGTTTTGAAACTGGGAATTCTTTTGAAATGGGAAATGTGTGGCTTTAATTTAGAGAGGAAACAATACTGACCCAATGACAGCATGACCACTATTACCCTGAATGTATTCGATCAGCCAAGACATGTTTCTGCTTTTTAGTTTAGAACAGGAGCTACGAGGCTAATGTAGCCAAAAAGTAACGGAAGCTTATACCATAGTTCAGAATTTCACCATTCCACCTTAAATGGAGCCTGAGGCACCAGAATGCAACTGCTGCACCATTTAAGGTGGAACCGGAAAATTCAAACAACAAGCTGGCTTCTGACTTCTGTCAGTTTCTCATTGCAGATTAAACGTATCAGGAAACCAGCTGGAGTGATTATAAACACAAATAAGTCCATTTGTTTTTAAATTATCAATGTTCATCTTAAATCTCTCTCTTTGCTTTTTTGTTAGCTACTAGCTAGGCAAGTTTGTTGTCTGTGTTACTATGGTGTCTGCACTGATCTTCAGGGTTAAAGGCTGAATTAGCAGTTCTACATTAACTCCAGCATTTAAGACCATTTATTGTTAAACTGTGCTGAACGAGCAGAGTTTTATTTTACTGTAAAGGAGGATTATTTTATTTTTACCTACAAATCTAATTCTGCTGTGGAGCCACAACAGGACAGTAAAAGAGCTGCATGTTGCCAACCTCTGCACTAGTAGTTAGTATGGTGTTAACTACATGCCTTAACCATCTCAAATTTGGAAAGGTTACATCTCAACCTTTGAAATATGCAGAAATTTAGTAAATTCAGTGGAATTCTCCTTTGACTGGGCATTTTTTCAAACTGGTGCTGTATAAGCTAAGATTCATTCTTAGCCACATTAGTGCTGTAGCTCCCATACTATAACTAAAGAAGCAGAACAAAAATAATATGAATCTGATTTTTCCTTTCAAGACGTTGCCAGTAATTACATAATTTGGGTGAAACCCCCCCCCCCCACCTTTCTGCTTCTGCAGGAAGTCGATGGTCCTCTGCAGGATGGTGGACTTGTCCATTTTGCGGGGGTGGCCCTGCCCCTGCAGCATGGTGCACAGCTCTTTAATGAGCACATTGAACTGGTCTCTCCGCTTCTTCTCCGACTTATTACGGGACGCCCTGCACACAAAAATGGGGGGACTCGACTCACTAAGATTCGGCTCTGTTTAACTGAGTATACAGTCCACACACTGCCAATCACCGGCAACCGGTCATAAAACAACACTCTGACATCTAAACAGGTCTGTATAGTGAACCATTCAGAGCAAAGGGAGTCTGTTATCTGTGTAAACGATCTACAGGCAGTGATTCATCTGGATCAACTCTGCAGGAATCTTTTATAACCTATTCTAATTCACTAAAGCATGAACTCATACAAATAAACATACAATGTAAAAACACTGAAAAGCCCAGCTTATTGTTTTCATTGTCTATATTCCTACATTTTGTATTAACAGTTCCTCCAGTTACATTTGCGTATTCTGTCAATTTTTAATAAACATGATTCACATCAAAAGAATTATGATTTCATTCTATGATTCAAATCAGTCACAAATGAAGACAGAAATAACGTCTACCTGAGCTGAGACTGAATCGAAGATTTCAGAGGAGGAGTGAAAAAAGTCTAATTTCAAAGTAAGTTACAGTAACAAGATCTTATTTTTGATAATTTCCGGATCATTTCTGTTGCTCTGCTGTTCATCAAGAAAGTTTTATATGCTGTAAACAGCAGCTGGGATTTTCAAATGATGACAAAATTGATAAAAAAAACAACAAAAACTGAGATGTTTTTTCCTCCGACAGCTGCTGACTGTTAGGAGAATATGTACAAAAGTGTAACCATTAAGGTGGAACTGTGTTCTAGCAGACGCAGGTTCACATCTTCACACCTTCATAACACTTTCTCTATTCATCTCTCTCTCTCTCGCGCGCTCCTTAAGAGCTTCAGGCTTTTCACACTCATTCATGGTGCTGTTCTGTTGTGTTAAGTGAGAGAGAGAGAGAGAGAGAGAGACAGAGAGACAGAGAGAGAGAGAGAGAGAGAGGGAGATAGACAGACAGAAAGAGATGGAGAGAAGATAAAGAAACAGTCATAGAGAGAGTGAGGGGGAAGGAAATAGAGAGAGCGAGAGGAGTGAGAGAGAAAGACAGAGAAAAATAGAGAGGTGGAGGAGAGAGAAAGAGAGAGAGAGAGAGAGAGAGAAAGAGAGAAGAGAGGTAGAGGAGAGAGAGTGAGAGGAGAGATGAAATAAGAGGAAAGACAGAGAGAGAAAGAGAGAGATGGAGAGAGACAGAGTGAAGAAAAAAGAGAGAGAGAGAGATGGAGAAGGGAAAGGAAAGAGAGAGCAAGAAGAGTGCGAAAGAAGGAGAGAGAAAGAGACTGGAAAGAGAGAGAGAAAGAAGAGGACAGAGAGGTCGAGTGAGAGAGAGAGAGAAGAAAGAGAGAACAAGAGGAGTGATACAGAAAAAAGATGGAGAGAGGAAAAGAGAGAAAGATAAAACAAAAAAGGAGGAGAGAGAGAGAGTGAGTGAGCAAGCGAGCGAGAGAGAGAGAGGGAGAGAGAGAGAGAGAGAGGTGAGAAAGTGAAAAACCTGTGAAAATGTGAGATCTTTTGATTAGTGCTTACACACTTACACATACACACACACACACTCACACACACTCACACACACACACATACACACACTCACACACACACACACACACTCACACACACTCACACACACACACACATACACACACTCACACACATACACACAAACACACACACACACTCACACACACACACTCACACACACTCTCCTACCTCTTAGCTCTGTCTTTCTCATCTTCGTCCATCAAGTCGTCCACACAGCTGCTGGTTCTGAAAGAAGCAATTAAAATCAAATGAAAAACAAACAGAGTTTCTGGCACTTCAAGGTCGTTACACACACAGCACACAGTCAGGTGCTAAAGTTTTATGCTTTTCTGCTGTCGGAACAAAACCTCTCGTATCTCAACGGGAACTTTACAGGAGAAGGAAAAAACATACTTTACTATATATGAACATATATGTACATATTATATGTTAAACTTAGCAAATAAAAAAAATTGTGCAACAAAATTTGAATTTGTCATAGTTAAATGTGCTCTCAGTACAGGACGTGTAAACTTATTTTTACTTAGAAAATCAACAAAACGTCAATTGCAAACAACTGTACATCTCAGATGCCCATAGTTCTTAAAGGAACTGTGAAATATAAAATAGGTAATGGACGTATAGATAAATCAGAATAAACAGGTTGTTCATTTCAGTTCATTTTTAATTATACAAGCAATTCTGCAGATTTTTGGGGAATGTGGGAGACGTGTATTTTGAGCTTGCTGTAACTGGAAGTTCTGCTCAAGGCTCTTTTCCTCAGTTTAGAGAGTAAAGAGGACCGAGTGACATCATGATCATCATTACCCCAAAATATAGTCGATCACTGAACAACACTTTCATATACATTTCAAAACAGTAAGGTTAAAATAGCCCTTAAAGGAAGCTTTTTTCCAAATCTTCCACCATTTTACCAGCATCAACATTACATATAGGCACTCATAAGACTCGTGTAGGTTCACTGGTGCTTTTGGATAGTAAATAAAATGTCTATATTTGTGTTATTGACATGGTGACCCCTGGTTCCTATCAACACCACTGTAAAGAAATCTGAGTCAGTAAGTTCCTCTAGAACAGAGCATTTCGCATTAAACCACTCTTGTTGAATCTTAACGACTGAATTATGCAGCAATTCTGGAAAATTGGTGGAATTCCCCTTTAAGAGAGACTACTATGGCCACATGGCACAGATAACAGCCTAACAGAACTGGTTTCATTAGCAAAGCAACATTAGCATTGCATCATTAAATGGGGCACAGCTTAATTACTGTAGTGTGTACTTACTCCCATTCCCTCCGGCTGGACGGACAAAGACCACCAAACTCAGAAAGATTGTCCATGCTCACTCCCTCTCCCATCCAGGCCGTCTGCGAACGCTGCCGTGTCCCATTCGCGCTGACTGCGCTCAAACCTTTTCGAAAAGCCGGCACGCTCCGCTCGCTAGCCTCCTCCAGCTAGCGGCTCACCTCTACCGCCAAATCTAGCCGTTAGCGCTGACCTCCTGATGGCTAGCAGCTGCTTCCTCTGTCCCAACCGGCTGGCCGAGCCTTCCCGGGTGGCGGTTAGCTAATCATCCGGAAACAGTTAGCCGATAAAGCTGACCGCTAGCATTGAGACGCTTCTATCTCGGTCAGTCACCTTCGCACTTCCATGGAGGTCAGTCGCAGAAACAGCAGGGCCTGAAAGAGAAAGCAACAACAAAGGAGAGGTAGATGAGTTTTAGCTGCGATGCAGTCAGAATAAGTTAATTAAGTATTACTAAATAACAGAATAGCTACACAATTTTCCTCCGTTTACTCAACATACAGCCATCTTTACTTTAGCACTGTAGCTACGAGGCTAATGTAGCTAACAAGGAACTGAAGCCAAGGCCCAATAATTAGCATCATGCAAGATGCCCACCAAAATTACCACAGGTTTTCTGACACATTGTTATGTCTAAAAATTAAGGAAAATGCAGATAATTACAGAAAAGACATATGTGGTACCTCTTTAGTTTAGCACTGTAGCTACGAGGCTAATGTAGCTAACAAGGAACTAAAGCCAAGGCCCACCAATCAGCACTGTGCAAAATGCTCACCAAAATCACCACAGGTTTTCTGACACATTGTCATGTCTAAAAATGAATGCAAGTGCAGATAATTACAGGCTTCAAGGCGGCTAACACTGTTTTAGCTTATGCTAGCAATTTGTTTTCCATTTCTGTACATAACAGTGTCTGAGTGACAGAAACCACATACGCAAGTCTACTTGTGATGACTTAACAATTTGGTTTTAAGGCAAATATGTAAACATTTATCCACGCAAGTTAGCAAAATGCTAACCTAGCAGCTATAGCCTTCCATTACTGTTAGCTACATTAGCCTTGTAGCTCCAGTACGAAGCTAAGGAAGCAAACTTCAGTCACCAAACGTGTCTTGGCTGATCAGCGACATTTGGGGAAAAGGAGAAAATTGTGGAAATTAAGTTTTTTTTCAAAATTTAATTATGGTTCCAAGCACAGCGCTAATCCTTCTATTAGCCCTATAAAACTTTATGCTAATAGCAAAAAACCTGCACAGTTATGTGCCTGCACAGTTAGTCAGAGATGATTTTCCTCTACCATCACACAAGAAAACGTCTAAAATTATTCATAAGAACAAACGAACAAAATCCCACATAAAAGCAGTGAACGATTTACTGGGTACAGCAAATGAACCTTCTGAAAGGCTCCAAGGACACACAGTGAAACGGCTGTTAATCTGACCGGAATCAGGTCAACAGCCGTGTGAAAAGAACACAGCTGAAGGGCCGCGTCGAGACACGTGGAGGAAAAGAGCCACTCCAGGCTTTCATTCAACAGCAGAACACGAGCAACAGCCAGATCACAGCTGATCACTTCTGAAAGGCCTTTCGTGCAGACCTCAGCGGGGCGGAGGGGCGGCAAGGAGGGGGTGACGGACAAACCTGCTGCTCAACCAGCAGAACACAATTTCAGTTCAACACTTGCTGAATTTCTTTAATCTTCTGGCTCGAAGCTCTGTTTCAGCGTGAATCTGCACTACATGCACACTGATTTTTTTAAAAGCAAAAGACTTTTACTATAAATACAGTAAATCAGTCAGGACACAAGGGCTGGGAACCTCGAGGCACCTCACGATTCGATTCCATTACGATTCAGAGGCTGTGATGCGATTATAAAACGATTATTGATGCATCTTTTTTTCTAGATTTCTTTTTTCTTAGTGTGTTACAACTCGGTACTTTTAAAGCAGAGTATTTAGAATGATCCATAACGTATGACGGCTTTATAGGGCCACTGTTAATAAAAATAAAAATAGTAGACTTTGAGAATAAAGTCGTAATATTCTGAGAAAAAAAGTCGTAATATTCTGAGAGAAAAGTCGTAATATTCTGAGGAAAAAAGTCGTAGAATTAGGACATTAAAGTGGCATTAAAAGGTCGCAATATTGTGGCCAAAGGCTTTGCAAAGGGAAGCAGCACCTCCTCGTGTTAAATAAGGGGTGGTGAGTTGGTGGAGTTATACTTTCATATCGATTCACCCATAAAGAAACACTCAGTCTCCCTGTCTCTCCTGCACATCAGCACCAGCCTGTTATTAGTATAAGAAACGGCTGAAAGGGCTGAGCAGGAAACTGTTTATCTGGAATAGAGAGCCAGACGGACTTGGAGGAAACTGTCTGTCTGTGTTGTTGAAGGAGAATCGCAGGCAGGGTCGTCTGCACGGCTATCGGGGGCTACATCTCCCCCCATTCAAAGAGGGCATGAAGTTTCACAGACAGTGAGAATGATGATCAAAATGATCCACAAAGAGACAGGAGTGAGTGGAGCTCCGGCGCCAGTACAGCAACCGAGACCCCAACGCGTTATGGCAGCCCCCCTACAGTACAGCAGCCCACTTTATCCTCCAAATAGTATGACTTTATTCCTGAAACTGTACAACTTTTTCTCGAAATTTACGACTTTATTCTCGAAATTGTACAACTTTTCCTCAAAACTTTTTTCTCTAAATTTTAACTTTAAATTTTAACTCTAACTTTTTTTCTGAAAATATTACGACTTTTTTCTCGAAATTTAATGTTTTTTTCTTGAATTATTATAACTTTATTCTCGAAGTCTACTATTTTTATTTTTATTAACGTCGGCCGTAAAACGCCATCGTAATAATAAATGTATTTCTCGCTGTGTCAGTAAAATATCTGTGAGATGTGACGCTGTATCTCAGCTCCAGAGTGTGCTACACACTGCGAAAGCCCTGGTTCTCAACGACTGAGTACGGACGCAAAACCTTGGCAATAAAAGTTGCGAGAGAGTTTGTAATTCGCTTTGTTCTTTCCGAGTTGGGAGGAAGCTCTGACATCACTTGCTCGATGGTGCTCTGGTTTGCAGCAACTACAACTGGACAGAAAACGGGTGGAAACATAAAATATGGTTTCTTATGTTTGTCGTTTCCAAAATATTTTAGTTTAGTGTGTCTTAAGTTTGCTTCTTTAGTTTCGCACTGGATCTACGAGGCACACAGACGTGTGCAAAAGTTTGAGCACCCTGTCAAATTACACATTTGATTTTCTAAGTGAAAATAAGTTAAAGCACTGCATTTTCTACAGAGAACACACTTAAATTATACATTTTCATACAAAATTTTAATTCATGTGCTGAGTTTAACATACATAACAAAAACGAAACATAATTGTGATTTTTCTTACCAAAATTGCGACTGTCATTTAAACTGTGACTGAAGTCCAGTACCAGTTGCACCAGCTGAACGTAAGTTCAGTCGTAGCCTAGTTTGAACGTAACTTGCCACTACGTTCAAGTTTACGAGCTACTGGAATTAAACCTGTCTCACCAAGTAACAGTTTTAAGTAAAAACTGAAAATTTACACATTCCCTGTAGTCGGCGTGAGTTCTGCCGTAAAAATCAGTTAAAATGGCTGGTCGTCTCGGTTTGCGTCAGAAACCACTTCTGCAGGATTGATCAGACCCGTTTTCGTCGATCGGAGATATAAAAGATCACAGACCTCCTGGCACAGATTCACAACACAGACAGTCCTACTTCGTGTCTGGCACTGATATGTTTTTCTACCGTGACGTTCCAAAACCTGGTGGGCGACTCTGTTCAAGTCAACTGTGCTCAGAGCATTAAGAGCAGCTCCATCAGTGCTCAGGCCGTATTATCATACAATACATAACACAGATTATTTTACAAATATAACTAACATAGACCACTCGCTCGTTGATAGTGTCATTACAATATTGTGCAGGAGACCCAGTTTGAACATCGGAACAATTCAAGCAGCAGATTAGAATAAACACACACACAGGAGACGGACGCTTCGAAAACACCACTGTAAAAGCACAGTCAAACACAGTCTCTTACTGAATTATAGCTCATCTGACCGACACCTTAAACAAAGCAAACGCAGCAAACAGATGTTTGTATGAATAATCGCTTCAAAACTGAACGTAATCTTTGTAACTGAGAAACGGCGCGTTCGGTGAGGTTATGGATAAAGTCTTCATGCAGCTAATCAATAATAAACGACACTCTTCAGAACCCACTGTCCCCCCAAACCAGCTGTGGTGAACGTGCAGAACCCACATCCGATGACAAAGCAGCAGAACTGCACTCTAACAGCTCAGTACACATTACATCCGCCCGCAGGAGACTGACCTAGAAACCAGCTCAGATAATCCAACACACATCAGAGAGAGAGAGGGGTAGATGAATGAGAGAAAAGAGGAAGAGAGAGTCAAAGAGAGACAGAATGAGATGGAGGAAAACAGGGAGATGGGGCAAGAGAGAAAGAAAGACAGATAAGAGAGAGGTAAAAAGAAGATAGGGAAGATAGGTGTGTGAGAAAGAAAAGAGAAGGAGAGAGAGAAGGGAGAAGAGAGACACAGAAAGAAGTGAGAAAGAGGACAGAGAGAGAGAGAGAGGGAGAGAGAGAGAAAGAGAGATGGGATAGAGAGATGAAGACAGAGGGACAGAGGAGAGAGGGAGAGAGAGGATGAAGAAAGAAAGTGAGATGAGATAGACAGAGGGAGAGAGAGATAGAGACAGGAGAGAGAGAGGAAAGAGAGAGAGGCAGAGGGAGAGAGGAGAGCGGGAGAGAGAGAGAGAGGTAGAAGGGAAGCAACAGAGACTAACAGGAAGGAATGAATAAACAACAAAGGAAAAAAACAATGAGTGAACAGCAGTCAGTGCTGTAACCGTACAGGCTGAGAAACCTCGCTGAAAGCATTTCATCATTAAACAAACATCACTGATAGAAAAACACACACACACACACTCACACACACACACACACTCACACACACACACACACAAACACACACACTCACACACACACACACACAACACACACCACACATACACACACTCACACACACACACACTCACAAACACTCACACACACATACACACAAACACACACTCACACACACACACACACACACACACACACACACACACACACACACACACACACACACACACACACACACACACACACACTCACAAACACTCACACTCACACACACACTCACACACACACACACACACACTCACAAACACACACACACGGTGAGTCACATTGTTTTCTCAAAGAGGAGAAACATTCAGGTCACAGTGGAGAATCCTGCAACATTAAACACACTGAGCTGTATAATTCACCTC